TTTTTTTTCCCAATCGGGCTGCACTGTGTCAGTTTGACAAGCTACGAGTAGATCAAATAGGTGAGTAATGTGCCTGCTCCCAAAGTCAAGTCCGCTACTTTCCGTCATCATGCCTGCATTCTGGATCGATTGCGGCTTGTGGTTTTGTGGTTCCTAGGCTTGCATGATTATTCTAGTTCTATTCCTCTTCCCTTTGAGCCTCCATTATTTCGCGAAGCAGAGGGAAGCTGTGCTATTTTAAACAAAAATTTGCTTTGCTGCCTTGAATTGATCCTTTCTTTTGGTTTTGAACTTTGGAGTGTTCCTATGGCTTTATATGGTTTGCTGATATCTTAGCAGTTACCCATAATTTTGGAGCAAGTTTTTGCTTTGGTTTTATACGTTGTCTGCTTAATTCCAGATACTTGGCTCCAACAGTTGAAATTCTGCTTCCAGCTATGGTACATGAACCTGCAGTTCTCATCGAGGGAGTGCTGTTCCGTGCTCGATACCTTGGTTCAACGCAAATGATGTGCGAAAGCAGAGGAAGCAAGGCGGCCAGAATGGCACAGGCTCAAGAAGCTGTTGCCAGAGTTAAGGTACTTCTTAGAAACGTGTTTAATCAAGATTATAATCCCTAATCTTCGTGCTAAGTATCTCCATCATAGTTTTTTTTTGCTAATTTGCCCACTTTTCTATTTGACCGAAGGACTGCCAACACAACTTTAAGTGTAAGAATTCTGATTAATTTCAGTATGTGATTTTACGCAAGCAAACTCATTGATGACAATAATTCAGAAATAGCTCACATCGCCTACTGAACGCTTTTGTTTAGATATCAACTTAACATCCGTTAATATCTCTTGTACATTTCTGTTTAGATCCAGATTTTAACTTAGGAGTAAAAGGACTGTCTGGCAGTGAAGACTATGACGAATTGTCTTTATATTTCTGTCGTGTTCAAAGTAGGAACCTCAGCCTACAAACTACTAAATCTCAAAAGTAGCTTCCTAGCTCCCTCTGTGCAGCATGTTTATTCCATGCGAATATCCATTCATTTCAAGTTCATTTGCTGTAAGATCTTTTCTTTTCCCTGTAGTTGCACTTTAATGCGTATCACGGAGCTCAACTATAATGCTCCCGGTAATGCGCTTAGTTTTAGTGACGAAGTCCAACATCAATAGAATCTCGTGTTCAATATTCAAGTTAATCCACAAGAACGGGTTAGTACCTAAAACTTTTTATCAGTGGACTTTTGCCAGGGCTTTTTTAAGCTGACTCCTCTTGCCATGTCTTTGAAATCTGGAGTTGCGGATAATTTTTTTTGCATCACATTAATCCAGAGCTCTCTTTTTTCTGTTTCCCGTACCACCTCTTCTAAGACGTTTATTGTCGTACTAATACAAACAACATAGTCCAAGAGTCTACGGGCGACATGTGTTAAATGTGGGACGATATAGAATAAGATGGGCAGCAAAGGCTGGAATATGGATTTGAATAGACAGCAGTTTCTTCTGTAGTGGTTAGAAGATGAAAAATTTGGAGACCTTGAAAAAGGCCACACGTTCTTTTTCTGCATAGCAGCCATGTGCTGCTCTAAGAGAAAGATATCTAGTCAAAAGGAAACTCAAAAAGTGGCATGCACTACTCTATGCAGTCCAGAACATTGATTCCTTACTTATTTGCCAAATATTCTGAAAAATCGTGATAGTTTTTTCTCTACCGAAAATGGGTTATGCGAACCAAAAAAGAGTGCTGATCTAGTTTGTTTTGACTATGCAAGGAGTACTTTGATAGAATCAATGAATCATCAAAATTCAGCTCCTGCAATACCCATAAAGAAAGTGTTAGTTCAGCCTGTTCTGACCCGAAATCAGCATTGCAGGAGCTAAATTGATGGTTTACTGATTCTATCAAAGCAATCCTTGCAAGTTTACCATTTTTACAGTTGAAGTTCACAAGCAGATACTGTCGTAACTTCTTCTCTACAAACGTTGGCAACATGGAAGGCTATGGAATCGCAGTTTCGCGTTGCAACTAACACTTTACATGGCTTTTTGATCCTCTGCTTTGACTGCTATCCTTCCCTAATCAGAGATGGCTGTTCATGACATGGTCGTACATGCAGCGCTAAAGCTTTGATTTGGAGTAAGCTTATGGTCGGAAATGGGAGAATATCTCTGCCCAAATTCCACCATATAGATGCGTACATCAGGCTGTCGGCCAAGCTCGTGATTTTTTTGTAAATTCAAAAGAAAACTAGAAACCAGAAGTCTTGGCGACCACTATAGACCTTACTGTAAGTTTACGAGGTTTACGCCGCAAGGGCGAAATCACTGCTTTTTCTAGAAGTGTTACTAAGGTTGATTAATGCTGAATATGAAAATCAACCCATCCACATAAGGCCCTTATTGGATAATCTGGTATACGACGGAGAGGATACACGTATATGTTTGCAATGAAGATTTTGAACAATGTTGCTTCTTATGTGCGAAATGAAGGCAAACAGACTTTTCATGATCGTTGTCAGAAGTAACCAAGAAGATTTTTTATTGCACATCGACGATTTTGACCCCTGTGGCGTAACCTTCCGCTATCGATAGTTTTATCGTGGGGAACGTCGATTTTTATGAGCATATCCAATTACGTTGGGTACCGAAATATTTCTAAGTCGCATTCTAAGAAAGTGAGCTACCACTCAAACGTCTTGACATCTGAAATGTAGCTTCGACACTAATTTAACAAAATTGAAATCAATGATAAAGCCAAGCGCAATTCATTGAAAACGTTTTCTTTTGAATAATGTATAATGATGTGCACATGTATATGCAATATGATTTATGTACAATAATATAACATAATAATATGTGCTGATAAAACTCCTGATTTTTTTGTTTGTTTAATTTTTAAAGATGATGCGCTACCTGACAATTCGGTAGTTTACAATGATAATAATTCAATATATATGCTGCACAAACTTAAAGTCATGAGTTCCACCAATCTATCTGCTTGAACCCTTATATTGATCAGTATTGTTGTGAATTGTATTTTAATTCATCGTTTTAGGCCCCAGAGGGTGAAATACAGCCTAGCACGGAAATTGATTTGTTTATCTCAACGGAGAAAATTATGGTGCTGAACACCGATTTACAGGTGATCTTTCTAACCATCTACTCATGCCTTTTTTTTAAAATATTTTACTATCTTTTACATCCTAATAACGTACTTCTCTTAGTTATGGAATGAACTTTAACCTTTTTCAGCGAATATCCGACACTGATGTCCGACAGGTGATTACTTGGTGTTATGCACTTTAAGTTCGAGTCCTCTTTAGTGTCTGTCTGAGGTTTACACTCATCACACCCTCACGTTTGCTGCCTGCATAAGCACTTGTGCACTTCTATCTTCAAAGCGTCTTGTGATAAATTCTATTCAGGATATCTTGATGGATCATGCTTTGCGTACAATATCTTATATCGCTGATATTGGCGATTTGGTCGTGTTGATGGCTAGAAGAATGTCTGCTAGTAGCAGTGACGAGCACTGCAACCAGTTAGTTTTGCTTTAGCTATTCTTTGACCTCTGAGAAGTTGAGCCAAACATGTCGCCTTAGAGTTCTTTAAAGTGAATACTAGGACAAGGGCTTAGTTTTTGAGACGGCTCAGGTAATAAGCTTAATCCTCCAAAATTCTCTCTTGGATGATCTTTGTCAATTTTA